GTTAATCCCAGGCCGGCCATGGAATCGCTAATCCTGGGACAGAGAAGGCCCAGGGAGAGCCCGGTTTGACCGTTAAAGCTCTCCGGGCATTTGTAGCACTGGCAGCAAGGGGAGAAAGCTATGAAACTGGAGCTTTCCAAGACAATGAGCTCAGAGACAAATGCAGGGTCCCACTCCGGAGCTGTGCTGTCCCTTTGGCCAGAGCCCCGAGGGTTGAGCAGCGCCTTGGCAGAGCGCACAGGGTCTCTGCCCGCACCCTGGTGTAAGGTTATGGGGCTGGGCAGTCTGTAGCCAAGCTCCTGCTGACGTCCATGATAGAGGACACTCTGTGGCCTGGGCCGTGGTAACTTGTGTCTGCTGCTCTGCAGGTGGAGCCCAATGCCACCATCGCCGAGATCAAGAACCTCTTCACCAAGTCCCGTATGTATGCAGTGAGCTTGCTCCCGTTAGCCCTGCAACCCCCTACTTGTTACGCTTCCCCCGCCCACTGGAGTCAGCCCTGCACCCCCGCGTCACCTTCCCACCTTCTGCTCACTGCCCCACGGAGCCCACCCCATCGGGCACCAAGCGCTGACCTCCTGGCAGTGCCCCATGCACGAGAGCAGAGCCAGGGCTGGGCACAGACCCAGCCAGTGTGGTCTAGTGTCACCCTGTCAAGCCCCAGGCCTGGCCTGTGCGGCGTGGATCAGGCTGAACTGCCCACCCCAGCGCTCAGGAAGGTCTAGAGCCGTGGTGTCCAACCAGGTCTGAAGTGGTAGCAGCTAGAGCGGCTACTGCTTTAGCAAACTAGCCACACTCAACCAGCCAATAGCCACATGTAGGACACCATGGGCATAGAGTATTCGGAGGGGAAGGGAGAGATAAGAAAACACTTTCCCACAGGAAGCAACTACGGTTCATGAAAAGTATTCCCTCAAAAATCTAATTTTCCATGTATAGCCAGTTTATGACGGCAGATGCCTAGTGCATGGCAAACAACCTCTGCAGCCTGTGGCGTCCGTAGCGTGCCCAGCCCCAGAGCAGCTAGGCCGTGAGATCTCTGTGGTGTTCATAGTGCACTCATCACTGCAGCGGCTAGGCCCTGAGATCCCCATGGCGATCGTAGCGCACCCGTCCCCAGAGCAACTAGGCCCTAAGATCCCTGTGAGTGAAATTCCTCCTGTGCAAAGTGCAGGCATTGTTTATGTTCCCCCAGGAGCCCTCAGCATAGGGCTTGCCAGGTGCCTGGTGTCCCTCTGGCATTTCCGTGCTTGGTCCAGGGACTTTGCGACCCATCAAGGCAGGAACCAGCCTGCTGCCTTCAGCGAGGGACCTGAAGGCCACCCAGCCTCGTCAGCCTCTGCTGTGCAGAAGGGGGTGGGCTTGTCTTCGTAAGAGCAGTGCGGCTGGTGCTGATCAGGGACTTGGGAGCCAAGGGGTGACGCCAGTCTGCTCTTCCCACAGATCCTCAGTGGTACCCAGCCCGACAGTCGCGGGGGGGGGGGGGGGGTTGGACTGTTCCCAGGCACGCCTCTCTGCTGCTTGAAGGCCCCGCGGGTGGGGAAAGTGGCCAGGGGGAACATGAGGGGGCTGCTTGGTAACTGAGTCTGAGGGCACAGCTGAAGCTGGGCCTGCAGGACAGGTGCTGACTCTGCTCCGAAGGGTGAGAGATCTAATGTGCCGCCAATGGACTAGGGCCCCAGAGGGGAAGGGATCTCGTACGCAGGGGAGAGCCCCCCTGCAGGAGCCCAGAGCTGTGCCTCGCCCTGCAGCGGGGGCAGGGGGGGGAGGTTGCTGTGCTGCAGGAGAGCGGGGCTGGGGTCACTTGGGCACCTTGCCAGGGTCGCCTATTGCATCAGCCTCCCCCCAGCCTGCCCCTCTGGGTTTCTGCTCTCCTTCCAGAGGGGAAGTCCCTGAAGGATGAGGACGTACTACAGAACCTGCCGGTGGGCACCACGGCCACGCTCTACTTCCGGGACCTGGGGGCGCAGATCAGCTGGGTGACGGTGAGCAGTGCCGAGGGTCTGCCAGAGAGGGCCCCCCCCCCTCCCCCGGGCACCCCTCTGTGCTCACAGCACACTCTGCCTTCCAGGTCTTCCTTACCGAGTATGCTGGGCCACTGCTTATCTACTTACTCTTCTACTTCCGAGTGCCCTTCATCTACGGCCCCAAGCACGACTTCACCTCCAGCAAGCACTCGGTCGTGCAGTGAGTACCAGCCGGGGGCAGATCCCTGTGCCTGCTTACTGTGCGTTGGGGCTCTGCCCGGGGATATGGGCCCTCTCTGAGCTGTTGGGGGCAGAGACCCCGTAGGAAGCCTGAGCCCTAGGAAAGTAAACAGATGGGATGTGGATCCCACTCCTGGCTGGTCCCTGCCTCCCAGGTCAGGCCTGTAGCTTCCGAGGTGGGCTCCTCTCCAGAGTGGGCTGTGTGGGGATGCAGGGGCGATCGGATTCCCTGCCAGCTTCTGTGCGGTCACTGGATATTCAGCACCTGGATGGTCCACGGAGCAGAGGTGCTGGAACTAGAGGGGGCGGGGAGGGGACTGCAGCACCCCCGGACTTGAAGTGGTTTCCATTCTATCCAGGGTTTACAGTTTGGTTCAATGGCAAAATGGCTCCCGGCCCTGCCACGGAGAGGGACTAGGGACGGGCGAGCGCTCTGAGCTGCGACTCCAGAAACCCCGTTGATTCCTGGCAGGAGGAAGCAGTTTGCCAGCCCCAGAGCACTTGGGGCTCATCAAGGAAGCTCTGCTGTAGGCTCCAGCATAGCCCCATCCAGACTTGCTGGGGAGGAGCCTGGGGGCAAGTGTTGTCTGGGACACAGGGCCTTTGCTGCTCAGGACAGTTCCCTAGCGGGGGACGTACCCCAGTGGCCTTGGTACCCACTAGCCCCCTGCGCCTTCCCTTCCAGCCTGGCCTGCATCTGCCACTCGTTCCACTACATCAAGCGCCTGCTGGAGACCCTTTTCGTCCATCGGTTCTCCCACGGGACGATGCCCTTGCGCAACATTTTCAAGGTGAGTGGGGCAGGCGGGCAGCGCCGGGCAGCCCTGCGGGGTAGGTGAAGTGAGGGCTCCTGGGACGGGCAGGGCCTGCCAGGCAGGGAGCCAGGGCAGTGGCTGCCAGGGGTTCCTTTGACTTGTCTCCTTAGCAGAGCCTGTATTAAAAGAGCGTTTCCTGATTTGTCTCTAGAATTGCACCTACTACTGGGGCTTTGCGGCCTGGATGGCGTATTACATCAACCACCCGCTGTACACCCCACCGAGTAAGTCACCCTGGCCACGGTCTTGCTGCCTGCTGGGCCGGAGGGCGCCGTGCGTTTCCAGCCCTGCTGTTTGCCGGACAGATCACCTGAGGGGCTGGCCTACCTTTTCCAGGGCCTGGCTTCAGCCCCCCGTTTCCTGTGCTCTGCTGGTATCCCACAATGCACAGCACCTGCTGCCCATCACTGTTCCCACAGGGCAGTGTTTCTGCGTGCCATGTGGAAAATACAGGGATCTTACCTGCGAGGCACCATGCTCTTGCTGACGTAAGTGCCTGGTCGCAAGGCGCTGGCGCAAGCAGCTGTGTGTGGCCACAAGCTGCAGAACGTTGTGTTGGCAGCATTGTGCCGACAGACCCATCCCTGGTACAGCTTCCTAGCACAGCCAATGTCTTAGACATCAGGCGAGTCCAGGCTTCAGGACTCTGCAGGGCTTAGTGCTGACTCGGATCTGAGGGGTGGGAGCCGTGTCAGCCCTGAATGAAGGGGGCTGCATTGTCATCACCGGGGTTTTCTCCCAGAGGTGTTAATTACGCAGTTGGGAGTTACAGCAAATGCAGCTCAAACCCGGCGGGATACGTGGGGGGAGCTGAACTCCACCTGGGTGTAGGCATTTAACAGGGAGAGTAACTGTCCCTTGGAGTGACTCCTGGGAGCTGCCTGCACTTTGGAGAGGTCTCGTCTTGGGTGTGTTCTCAAAGCTCTGCTCTCGCTTGGCCCCTAGTGCTGGGCCAGGTGCTGCTGCAGGGCGAGGGTCTCTGGGCTGGAGCAGGAATCCGTTTGAATGGGCAGAACGTTTTCTCCTGGCCTGGAAATCAGAGACGTCCGTGACTTCTCTGGCCGGGCTTCCTTCTCAGTCTTACTTCCTTAACGTCTTGGGTTATAAGCTGCCTAGCTCCCCAGCCATCCACAAAGCCCCCAGGGGACCAGCCCTGACTAGCTAGTGTAAAGACCAAGCTGCAGCCTGTTTTCTGCTGTGATTAAAAGGCCTTTTGTCCCTTCCTGCATCGTTAAGGGTTAAAATCCCAAATGAACAAGCCCAAACTCTTCTGCTTTGCATCCATGTTCCATCCAACCTTCCTCCACGCCTGCAGCTCGAGTCCTTGAGTCCTCCCTTGCGTTTCCATGTCCGGCCACCCTCTCCCTGGCGTCTTGTACTATAACCCCTGCCTAGCAACCTCTCCCCCTTTCAGGCTCATGACTCTGACTGGTCTGACCCTGGGAGGAGCGGGCCCCCCAGACTGCGCTGCCTTTGCCCTTAGCAAGGAGCAGTGAGCAGGACAGTGGCCGTGCTGCCGGGGGTATCATCTGGCCCTTAACAAGGGCGCGGTGGGTCTGCTACAGATTGGTTTCTTTCCAAGCCATTGTTGCCATAGGGACCATGAACGCCAAAGCTGGGTGCGCCCCATGTGGACTGTGCATTAGTGTGTTCCCCAGGCAGACTGCCAGCTCGCCCGTAGTGCCTAACCCTGCCCTTCCTCTCCCCCCACAGCCTACGGAGACCAGCAGGTGAAGTTGGCACTCGTCATATTCCTGGTAAGAGCTGCTGGTGGTGGAGAGAAGCAGGGAAGGAGGCTGCTTGGCTGGGCCTGGACAGGAGAGCCAAGGAGGGAGGTGTGGGGGGGTGGGGAGCGGAGGCTGGGCACCTAGCGAGAGTCCTGGGGGTGTCTGATTAGGGCTAGGACGGGGTGGGCAAGATAGGGTCCACAGGCCGGATTCGGCCCGCCGAGCTGTTTGATTCGGCCCATAGCTGCCTGGCCACTCTGCCGCCCCCGGGCCAGTCGAGACGTGGGAATGGGTGAGCCCGGGAAGCCTCCTCTCCCTGCCAGGGCGCGTGGCGCCGGAGGGAACAGTCAGCTCTTCCTAGCAGCTGGCAGTTCCCTCTAGGTGCCCCGTGCCCTTGGCAGGGTGGAGAGACAGGAGAGTTTGTGCACCCCCCCACCAGGGGCTGCCCGCGCCTAGAAAGAACAGCCCCTTTCCGCCTGAGGCCCCGCCCCCTCTGCCCGAGGCCCCACCCCTTCAGGGGCAGCCTTGACCACTGCCAAAATGATTCCCCTCCCCTCCCCCCTGGCTAGGAGCATGTGCAAGGGGATGAGGGGGCCAGAGTGTGGGCATAGGCCGAGGAAGGGCTAAGGGGGGTGGATGGCTGGGACCCAGGGCACTGATCACTCCTGCTTCCCCCAGTTCTGCCAGCTGGGGAACTTCTCCATTCACATCGCCCTGCGGAACCTGCGGCCGGCAGGTGAGTGGAGGCGGGGCCCTGCTGGCTCACCTGGGGCCTAGTTACTCAGGGGTGACTGGCAAAGGGGCTGGTTAGTCTGGGGGCTGGGGTGGGGACATGTTTGTGGCCCAGGCTGAGGTATGGGGCTGGGAGCTTGCTCTGGGGCTAGGGCACTGGCTGTCTCCCTAGAGAGTCTGAGTGAGAACCCCCCACCTCCCCCAGCTCTGGTTTATGGAGAGTTCTCCCAGCTCTCCAGAATCTTGCTGGATGTGAGAAATGCAGGAGAAAACTCCTCCCTTCCCCAGGCCCCCTCTAAACATCCCAGGGGCAGAGATGGGCAGGAGCCCCTGGAGGGCTCCGTTAGCGCCAAACCAGGCAAATCCACTGCAGCGTGGCCCTGAGCGAGACCCTGTTGGGCCGGTTGGACTATGAACCGGGGAGCAGGGTCCCTGTCCCCATGGATGTGCGCACTGGAGCCAGCCCGCTCGCCCTCCGCATGCTGGGGCTGGCCAGCGGGCCCCTTAGGGCTGGAGAGGGCGCTGAGCTAGGGGCTCTTGGCTGCTGCTCCCCGGAGCTTTGCATTCCCTTTCCTCGTCCCTGCCCAGCACTGCTGGGCTCCATTGCACCCTGCCACGGACGCAGGCTGCAGCTGTCCCAGTGTGGGAACCTCCGATAGAGTCCTGCGCAGCCTGGCGTCTGCCTCGCCCCTGCCCTTGCCTCTGGCTCCAGTGGCGAGGGAAGCACTGGCTTGTGCGAGTGGAGATCCGACCCCAGGGCGCTGCCCCTCCATGTCCCTAGAGAATGGTGCTGGACGGGGCTGTCTCCTCAGTGTCTGCCTGGCTGCTGCTCAGAGCAGCATCCCCTGCCTGCGTGTTCCTGGGGAAAGCTGATACCACTTGGGGCGGGGGTGGGGGAGAGAGGAGATCATCGGCCAAGTGAAATAAATCACCCTGGATTTCTGCTTCTCTCCAGGCTCCAAGACCAGGAAGATTCCCTTCCCAACCAAGAACCCCTTCACGTGGCTCTTTCTGCTAGTGTCATGCCCTAATTATACCTATGAGGTGAGCTCCCCTCCCGCTAGCCCCCTGCCTGCAGTGTACTGGCGGGGCCCCTGGACTGAAGGCTGGCTGGCCCTGCCAGCTCCTGCCTACCCTACCCGGGTCCGCAGATCTTGTTCCTCGTCTCATTGGACGCCTCTCCTTGAGCTGCAGCTGCCTCCCTGAGACAGACGGCTGGAGCATGGCCCACCTGCCTCCTGCTCGCGGCTGGTAACAGGCTTGTGTTCCTCAGCCACGTGGGCGCCAGGCTCCGCAAATGGTCTGTGCTCTCTGCTCCATCAGCACGTCGCTGCTCACCGCTGAAATGCAGCTGTCTCTGGGGTGGAGCTCGGCAGCTGCTTAACAGCCACACAGCTGAGCCTGGCAGGGCAGGAAGCCCAGGAGACGGTCCTTGTCTAACTGAAACCGCAGGGGGATTCAGAAGGAGGCAGGACTTGAAATTGGCTTGGAAATGGGAAGGCAGCAGCCCGCTTTGGGGAACTGAGGCAGTGATCAGAAATAGCCAGGACCTCACAGCACCCTGCGTGGGGGTCGTGCTCTGCCTGCCAGGGGAGAGCGTCCCTTCTGAA